GAACAACTTTACAATGTAATTATGTAAACCCGAAAAGAATGATGTAATATAATATATTTGATGACAGCTCAGTAAAGCTGTATGTACATGTTTTGATCTTTCCTAGATCAAATATTAAACTAGGTGTAGTTTACTATTTTATTCAAAATTGATTGAGAGAGCGATAAATGTAAAAATAAAATTAAATTAGAGAACTATTTATTTGATAAATCTGTATGGATCACAGGGAGGATAATTACTTATCCTCCCTGTAAAGAGGGAGGATAAGTAATTATCCTCCCTGTAAATAGGGAGGATAAGTAATTATCCTCCCTGGAATTAAAAAAGGAGGGAATTTAAGGTTGGTTATTTCGTTGAACAGGAGATTAAAGTTAAAATTTCAAATTCTCCAATGAATATAGAACACAGCAATTGTGCAGTGTAACCAGACTTATTTCACTTATTTTCACAACATCAAATACACGTATAAGGTTGCAGAAATGTCATCTTATCATTTCACAGTTTTGTAGGTACCCATGTAGCAAATATATATTTGTATTGTATTTGCCTGGTCCAGGTTTGTTTGTTTAAATCAAACCAAATTTTCAAAATTTAAAAATGAAAATAGAGCTCTTCTTTTAATTTTTGCAGACTCTAAAATTTCAGTTTGTAATGGGAATGTCGGAAGAGGATAATAGAAAAATGGATGAAATCCGCAAATTTTCTGCAATTTACGGTCGATTTGACTGCAAGCGGAAACCGGAAAAACCACTAACTTTGCATGAGGTAAAGACAACTTTTAACATTTTTTTTATAAATTTAAAATTTTAAATGGTGGCAAAAATGCTTGTTTAAAGGAACTATACTATGTACATTCTTCTGATCGATAATGTAAAAGATAAAGTAGTTTTTATAGCTTGAAAAGTATTTTTCTACATTGTCTCTATAGCAGAAATGCGCAAGTCACTGTTTAGATAATTCACAATGGAATATAATCAATTCTTAGAGATATATTAAACGAAGAATATTTCATGCATTTTAGTTTAGACAAAGCTATTAATGGTACTGTTGTAAAGAGGACATGCTACTATATAAATGGTTTCACTAAAAATTACGTGTTCTGTGTCTTTATGTCACTACACAAAAAAATGTATGTTAAGGTGTCTGTGAATGAGGCAGCAGCCCAGATTTGTCGTCTTGTCCCTGCCATGTTGACCCGTCGTGACGAGCTGTTCCCGCTAGCCAGGCAGGTCGTCAGGGACTCAGGATACCAGTACAGCAAGGGGCATTCCAGGTACATATAACAGCTTAACATGTACTTTATTATTTAACATTTATAAGTAAATTGTTACCGTCAATGGATGAGACTACTTAGATGACTGTGTACATATATATTTAGTGTTGTTTCTTGCATATATGGTTCCCCGCAGTTTCACCCTTGATAATCTCATTTCTAGGTCGTCATTAATGTCTCAATTAATCAAATTATTGAAAGAGTTTTGAGTCTTAAAGAAATTATCTTTTTTTTTTTTTGGAAAATCCTTTACATAATAATGTATGTATATTGGATATTGCACAATACACATACCTACAAAAAACAGTCAGTACATTATCTAATTCCAGGTCAACGTTTACGCTATCTGGAAAGCTATTTGGTGAAGACGGGTTGGGTCCTTTTAAAAGAATGCGCTACGCTGAAGACAGTGAAATCACACAAAGACGACGGGTAAGCTGTTTTATTGTAGTTTTATAACAATTCGGACTTTTGCAGGCTTACATAGATAGAAAATTGGTTAAAAATATATTTGCAAAAGGGAAATGGTTAATGCCTCATTAGTTTTGCCTATGGTCTCTAAAATTGCAATTTCTTCTTTTTCTTCGCGCATTTACGCCAGATACAGTTCGTCTTATAACGCAATTTAGGGGCACAGTATCACTTTCAAGCTCAACAAGACTTAAAGCTATGATGATTAGATTTTTCCTTAGACAATTTTCTTTGTGTAGTAAGGGCATTTTTATCAAACTTTGCACAGATTATCAAATTTGGAACTCTAACATCTTTAATACAAAAATGCCTCAATTTAGCTGGAAATTAAAATATTTAAAACTAAAAAGGCAGATTAGGCTTAAGATAGTGGGGGTTATGTTTAAATAAAATGTTTTGCAATATTTTGCATTTTTGATTGATTTTAGCCTTAGATGAAAGCCAATTAATTGATTTTAGCCTTAGATGAAAGCCAGCTTTGAAGTTAACTTAAAGCTGGTTTTCATTAATCAAAACAATCCATTATATTTAATCACTGTATATTGTAAATTGTATATAGCAACATGTACAGAGTTTTGTACATTGTATAGATTTCTATATGAGAGAGTTTGGAAAGTTTGCAATAAAAGGATTTGCGCGAGCCGTGCCGGTATCACTAGCCAATTCAGACCAGGCCACACTTGTTTTTGCACACTTGCAAAAAGGCAGCCGGCTCGCAAATTCTTATATAGGACGCGGGGTGGATAAAAAACTTTAAATTTTGTAGATTTAAAACAAGTTTATTCTGAAAATTAGAATAATTATGTAATCGATATATTTATTGATACAGTTTTTAAAAAAATTGTCAAATCTTCAAAATTTGCACAACCCCCCCAACATTTCTTTATTTGCAAACTGTCGGACAGGGCCAACCGAGGCCTGAATCGGCATTACTGGCAAAAACGGGCCCGGATAATTGCAAATTTTTACACACGCAGTTTTGCACAAAATACTTCTCATTCATTGCATTCAATAGAATTGGCATGAACTCCCATAAAACAGGTATTTTTTGCAAACTCAAATGTGAAAATCATCATGAAGTCTGTCATGCAAATATCTGAACACAACTTTTAATTCTCTAGAATTTTATTCCTACGCCATCTTTAAAAGTTGCTGTTATCTTATTTCTGTAGTTAAGACAAGATTTAGAGGATTTGCAACCATGAGCAAGCCGCCACATTATTTTCTGCACCGCCATTTCTTGTGCAAAATTTTAAAATAAATTGGCACAGGGCACCAACTTAAATTCGCAAAGTTTTTGCGACGGTTTGTGCATCATAAACGGGTTTCAATCTGAGCATAAATCTTACGGGGGGAGAGGGGGTTGACACATGGGGCCTATAAAGTTATGCATAGTAACAGCGCCAATTATTTATTATCGATAGTGAGACCCATTAAACTGTGAAGTAGGAAGACGACTGTTAAACTCTAACTATTAATTACTACTTAACCGGGAGATTAAGGGAGGATAATTAAATTGAGGGGAAAACCACTTAGCCGAGGGCCTCCAAGACCTTTTTGGGGTTCTAAACCTCACGAGCGTAGCGAGGGAGGTTTCGAACCAATAGGAGAAATGTTTTTGCTAAGATTTATTTCTGAATTCTTTATTATTATTTAAAAGGAATATCTCGTACTTAAAATATACTTTATAACCTCCCCTTGTACTCCCCGCCCCCCCCCCTTCTCCTTCTCCTTCTGTTGTAGATAGATGGGGTTGTTGACCCGATTAACCGAGTAAGGAATTCGCAATTTTATCACTTGAATCAAGGCCATTTGTTTAGCAGGATAGTATAGGGACCCCCAGTAGTTTAGTAAGATAGTATAGGGACCCCCAGTAGTTTAGTAGGATAGTATAGGGACCCCCAGTAGATTAGCTGGATAGTGTAGGGACCCCCAGTAGTTTAGCAGGATAGTGTAGGAACCCCCAGTAGTTTAGCTGGTTAGCGTAGGGAGGACCCCAAGTATTTCAACTGGTTATTAAAAGGAGGACCCCCAGTATTTTAGCAGAATAGTGTAGGGACCCCCAGTATTTATTTTTGACACTTAAACAAACTAAATATATTATGTCATTAATATAAAAATCCTCGGACTTATTTAAAAAAAAATTATTGCTCAGCTGTATTCTACATTTAGAAAGGAGGAGTTTTTATGAAGGAATTTAATTGAAATAAATTCCTTCCTAAAATTATAGTTTGCAAACCTGCCGACAATTTCAGGTATGCGTCCAGAGCAGATAATTTCAGGGTTGGACAATCAAATAGAAATTCAATAGATAACCCCTCTTCCCCCTTCCCTCCCTCCTCCCCTTACAACCCCTATACTCATCCTCTTTTCGTTGTTCAAATCATGTAATGGTTTTTTAATATTTTATCTTATTTCTTCAGTAAATCCATTTTTAAGTAAAATGGTGAATTTTTTTGTATTTCGATGATAAACTATGAAAAGAAGTGACACAGCCTGATACACTTCCTGATACCAATACCTGATCAATCTTTAGCCGGAAATAAGTTTTATAAATCACTTCCGGACATCCTGCTCCTCTTGGCATTGTACAAATTGTTTATATAATGTCAAATATCTACATTTTTCAGGTTTATTCCAGTCTCCTCTACTGCCCTCTATTAGTGGTTTCCACAACTCTACAGCTGCCGCTGCCGCAGCGGTCATCCGTGCTAGTGTTGGTGCTACTATACCAACCGTGACCGTGGCGCCCTCTGTACTAGGGGGCGTATCTGTTCCCACCTCTGTGTTTGTTAATGTTTCCAGCCCCCATACAGTCCTGGGGGCGGTTCATCCTCCTTCCTTAGTGCCTAGTTCTGTATCCCAACTCCTTGTTCAATCTAGAGTTCTGCAACACCCACCTTCCTCCCCGCCGCCTCAGCAACCCCCTAGACCACACTCCTCCAACTCACCCTCACACAAAGTGGAGAGGGAGGGACTTAGACTTGTAGTCAGAGACAATCGTGATAGTGAGGGGAGGGGGGACCGCGAGGGTAGCATCCCCTCCCCACCAAACTCTCAAGGAGAACTTTCCCATCCTGGGGGTTCTACCTCCCCCCTGATGTTGACCCCTGTGCTGATGGAATCCCAGATCCAGAAAATAGCTGACACAGCCTGTGCTCTGGTCAAATCATTACCAGATCTTGAGCCTAAGCAACCTAATGCAAAGAAGAAAATTTGTAAAGAGCTAGAAGTAAGTAAAGATGTCATTATTAAATAATGATTTATATTTCGGATCTCTAGGTATTTTTTCAAAACTTTTCCCTCAAATTTTATATTTTCCAAAAAATGGTAATTATAAACATTTAAACACTTACTGCAAAGTCTAAACTTTTAATACTACTGCAACCTGATTTTGTAAATCTTTTATGTTCAGACCATTTGTTTAATTCACAATTTAAGATAAGAAACGTCTAAGAAATGCCTGTGCCATCAGATTGCAAAGATATAAGTATAAGAAAATGATGTGTTTAGTTGTTTAATGGCAAGTGTTCAATTCTTTTCAAAGATATCCCCCAACCCCCTTTTAATTTGATTTATATACAGTGAAAACCAGAAAACTTTGAAATAAGAAGACGACTTTAAGACTTAAATTATAATGTAATTTTAAATAGTCCAAGAACATTAGTAAATCACTGCAATGTACACAAAACTACTAGAAAAACTATTTTCGTTGTAACAATGTCAAACACACTCAAAGATTGATTTAATGTCGTCGTCCTGTACCGTGCAGTTTTCAGGTTCTTACTGTACTTCAAGTTTTTTATATTATAATAAATCCCCCCCCCCCCGAAATGAAAAAAGTTAATCACCCCCTTGGACAAATTCCTGATTACGCCCCTGAATGTACCCTAAGTGTAGGTGGGGAATTTGCAAAGCTGCAGAATTTTCCCCTGGCGGGCTTAAAGAGACTGTCGGAGTAATTTTAAATGACCCTTTATTTTGCCCGTTACCAAGGGTGTGATGGTGCAACCTTTGTTTGAGCAAAAGTTCAACAAAATATTAAAATCATTAAATAAGTCATTTAAAGAAGACCACTATCAAGATAGAAGACTTAATTTAAACTTGGGATTTTCATATTTTTAGGTTGTCTTTGCAGTCTCATCCTTTGTGGGTAACCCTGTATTTGATTAAAAACAATAACAAAATTACAAAACTTTCCGCGTAAAATTTTCTGTAACATTCTGTTGGAAACTTTCTGGATATTCTTTCATCTTTTTCTTGTTATATTTCTAATTAAATACATACAAAAACAATTTATGGATGCCTTTATATTATACTTTTTGTATTAATAATCTTTTTGAGAACAAAACCTAAATATATGTAAATAGTTAGAAAATACAGATAAATCTTTTCTGTTCTTTTCTAATTACTATAAGACACTGAAAACATTCTTGTTAAGTCAGAATTATAAAACTCTGGAATAGTAAGACGACTTTTATACTCAAGTTATGACCTTAAATAGTCCATTTAACATGAGACGCAGTAATTGTGCAGTGCAAACTTTATGAGTGGTTTAATAATTGCTTTGTAACAACATCCGTATCGTAGAAAAGACGTAGGTAAATACGTCATTTTTAACAAATTTATCCGAGCTGGTTGTTCAGATTTTTAAAGACTTTGGAGGAACCCGAAATATTTTCTAAGAATATTAGGAATTTTCTAAATTTGTGAATTTAGATGTAAATATGGCATTGCCATTTTTGCATGGAAGGTTATTTGAAATTACGCTTACAGTTCCTTTCAGAGCTATATTTATAGGGACTTACCTTTTTTAAATACAAAATTGCAGCTATCTTAATATTTGAATAGTTTTCAAATTTGGGATTTTTTATTTCTGATGTTTTGTTAAAGAGAAAAAAGAGTGAGAAAGGTTAAGAAGCTTTGAAACAAACTTGATCAGTTTCTCCAATTTTTCTTTAGCCTTCCGCTGAATATTTTAACTAAGATCATTGGAAACTTGTAATTACTCAATTCATATGTGCTGTGCGTCCTTTCATTAGTAGATGTAGTGAATGAAGGGACGCACACAGTTGTGACTAAACATTATCTAATTAGATATTCGTTTGTTTTAGGAAAGGTTAGATCAGATCTGCGAGGAGTCCCGTCTTATCTCTGAACGCGTTGAAGAGCTCCGAACTGCTGGGGGACAGATTCGAGGTCAGGGGGCTGATCTTCATCAGATTCAGCAGATCACACAGCAGCTGGAGCTCCTACAGTCAAAGCAGCAACAGCTTCTACAGGAGAGAGATGAACATCAGAGATGTATTAGGTAAACATTAAACGGACTGTGCGGAAAAATAAAAGTGGATATAGTGAGACCCATAAAACTGTGGAAAGGAACGATGATATTTGATGATGTTATAGACTACACAACTGCTGAGTTTCATGCTCATTTTTTTCATGTCATAACTTGAGTCTAAAAGTCGAGTTTCTTTTCCTACAGTTTTCAGGGTCCCACTGTAGATAAATTAATATCTAATACAGTTTTCTACAGTTTTAAGGGTTCCACTGTAAATAAATTAATATCGAACTCAGTTTTTACAGACTCAAGACTCATAATAATTTCGTGTTTAAATTTAACTTTAAGTTTTGAGCTAGTATTATCAAGACCAAAAATTCTAGAAATTTTTTAATAATCCCCGTTCTTACGAATCAATTTTACTAATCAATGACTGATTAGTAAAAAAATCAATCTGTGAAAAAACTAAAAGTTATAACTGGATGGAAAGTGACAATATGAAAGTATAGTTTATAACCAACAAGGTTTTTATAACATATAAAGTAGATATAATAATATAGCGCAAAATTAGGCAATCATTGCACAACTATTAAGATGTAAAAAATTTGCAAAGTCAAAATTGCAAAGGATTGCGAAACAGTGCCTATAGGGACAATTTTGATGCTAAAAATTGACCACATGTAATTTTGTTTATACACGGGGCCCCAACAAACATGGGAATTATTTTTTAATTGTCTTTGATATAAATGGCATTTTTTATGACACTTTGTTTCAAACAGTCACAAACTTAGAGTTTATTTGTAACTTTAATTTTTCTCATTTGTTCTTAAGTGTTTAAAATTTATCATATTATTTTTATCTTAATTGTTTTGAATATTATCTTTTGGAATTTTAAGCCGAAAATGGTCGGAAAAAATCTAGATATTGATCCTGTTTTCCTGGATGACTAAATTGTTATTTGTTCATAAAATTAGTTTTTAATGCTTTAAGGTCTGTTATATTCCCCCCCCTTCTCCCAACTCTCCCTGTTTGTTGGTTTCTTTAAAAATAATAAAAATGCACAATCATAAATATCTTACAAGGTTTTGCACATTCTGTCGCAAAATTTAGGGTTGCAAACTTTTTGTGCAAAGTCTGGTGTCTACGCAATTAAGGTTGCAATATTTGGGCCTTGTACACACTAAACACCCCCCACCCCCTTCTACATAGTTGTACATAGTAACCTCGTCTAACCTCCCCCCCCCGTCTTAACTCTTAAGACCTAGCCTTAGTCTGCCCTTGTTGTTTACGCCTCCCCCCCCTCCTCTAAATTTTCAGCCGTGCAAAAAATTTGCAACTTTTACCATAATTTTTGCGAATTCCAAGGTCTGCACCGGAGAGACAGCATAATACCAGGAATTGGATCCTTAACGTATTTTAAATTATTTAGTCTAAAATATAATCCACCATATACACTTTTGGAAGGACTATTTGCAATTTTGCAATTATGTCTATTTTGCGGAAAATATTGCAATTTCACAAAAATATGTATTTCCGACTTAACTATGCTATGGTAATTGCTTGACTCCTATGTTCTCTCTTTAATTGAATGAAGTAAAAAGACCATTAATTAAATTTAATTATTTACAAGAATTCATCATTTTAAATATTTGCTTTGATGGACATGATGTATAAAAAATAATTTTCATTCCCGGCCCTGTACAATCAGATAAAGTTCTGCTCGCAATTATAATTATTTTGCGTTAAATCTGCAGACCTGCAAAAAGCATGAAGCCATGTTTTCATATCGAACCGTTTCCCCCGTAATAAACCGGTCAAATATATTTGAATAGGAATTATTTCAAATTTGAATACGAGACCAGATCGCAAAAACTGGAAAATTTTGTAATCCGTGAAAAATGTTGAAATGTGCGAATTCGTTTTGCCTCCGTTTTTCTAATTTTATTTCAGCTGTTGCACGATGCTAATCTTTTTCTGATTTAAGTTTTGGTATACTTTGTACTTTTTAAAAACAACAATTTCCTTACAGGGAGAGTTATAAAACTGTGGAATAGGAAAACGACGTAAAAGAAATACTAATGTGTTTTTAATGTTAAGTAAAATGGGTATGTGAACATCGTATAATTGCACATGCTCATTGGATCAAAGAATAATAACCTTGATTCTTAAAGATGTTTTTATATTCAGACTCTCACTGTACCATTTGCCATGATATAATAGAAGACGACCTAAACCCAACCTACAGAGCGTCTCATATCTTATTAACGCAAAAATACACACATAATGCTCGAAAAACCTATTATTTTCTGCAAGAAAAATTTTACAGTAATCTTTTCATTTTAATTCTTAAGGTTTTCGTGTATTTTCGTATCGCAATTTTCCATTTTTCATCGATTTCGACCAACTTAAACTTATTCTGATATATTCCAGGTATAGTTCCCGAGTGTCAACGTGTAGTGACCCTGAACGCGGAGATACGGACGACGAGAACTCACAAAGGTCGTATTCCAACGCTAGTTCTCCTTCCGCATCCCTCCAGGCACCGCCTAATTACGTAAGTTCTTAATATTTTGGTTCTGAGCGGAAAAAGATGGACAATTCCATGATTTTGTCTAAGCAAGGTTCCAATTCCTAGGATTTCAATCTAATTCAAAATTTATTATCATTTCAATTATTTTTTAACTCATATAAATATAAAAACTTTTCAGTCCCTCCCACGAATGTAACCAGTTGTTAAATCCTGAATCCTGATCGATAAAGAATCTTAATAGAAAAAAATAGCTTTTTTTGCGATTGTTGAATTGTTTCTGGTAAACAGTGCTCAGAATCCGGATCCGGATCCGGATCCTGATCGTTGAATCCGCAAGATTTTGGCTTCCTGGATCCGGATCCAAGGGGTAAAATATCAACAAAAAACTGCAAAAAAACTTTTTTACTCCGAAACCCAAATCTGAACTTTTGGAATAAGAGATATTATAAAAATTTCCTTATTTTAAATGGTTCATCAAGTTTTAGGATAAAAAAAGTTTTAGCGAAAAAATTAAAAAAAAAATTTGAAAAAGTTTTTGTTAAAAAGATTCAGTAAATCTTAAAGAAATGACCTGGATCCGGATCTGGATCCATTTTTTCCAGTGCGGATCCGGATCCGCATCAAAATTAAATGGATTCTAAGCACTGCTGGTAAATGTAGTAAAACAAGCCATATAATCCAACTAAGTGTGCTTAATTCTAAGTATACCTTACGCTTCAGAAAACAAATACATGGTGCTTAAAGCGTCCCCGTACTCCATTGTTTATTTTCTAAAACATTTTATTTATCATTGCTTGAAAAGGATATAAGTAATTTGACGTTTAAAGGCGCCACCAAGGTCTGAGAAACTTTTAAAATTGCTTATTCTGAATTATTATATTTTTTGTCCGAAAACAAGATTTCAGTCCTCAGATACGAACCAAACTTTTTCTTCATATAGTAGCTCAGAGAAAAATTGGCATATAGTTTAATAAAAGCAGGTTTTTACAGAGTGGAGTTTAAAATGTGTAAAAATTAAATTATTTAACGAATCAGCATTACTCAATTTATTAAAAAAATGACGTCTAATAAAGTATAACAGGGTAACCCACAAAGGATGAGACTTCAGAGACGACTGTATGGAATTCATTCCATTCTTTTTTTCTTAAATTCCCATGGCTCCTCGAAGATTTAAACGTCATTACCTTTGCAATCTGTAAATTGAATAAACCATTAAAATAGTTTTATCGAGGCATTACAAGAATTAACACGAAAGATTTGATTTAAAATGACTGTAGAAGTTTGTATAGTGAATACATGTTCTACTTTTTTATTTAATTGAAAAGACAGAACTAAATTTTCACAGTCTAATCCTTTGTGAGTTCGGGTGAGTTTTTCATAAGTTTGATCCAAAGACGGAGCACTAACTTTTCATGCTTTTTCTTTATTCATTTTATTTAATATTTTTATTTAGGTTTTGTCAGCGAGTGGAGGACAGATTATTGCTGTCCAGAATCCAGCCCTTTCTCTTTCCGGAGCTTTTGGTGGGCGTGGAAGCCCACCCATCTCTGTCCAAGCCGGTCATCTATCAGGGGGCCTACGTAACCGAAGTACCCCGCCCCACTCCGCCTCACCCAGCATGAAGCAGGAACCAAGTTCTCCGCCCCCCTATCCACCATCTAGCAAGGAATAGACCACATCTACTTCCAGCACAGGATTAGATCTCGAAAACAGCCCCTCCCTCCCCCTCCCCGATTAATTTAATTTAGTAAAATTCATATCTTTCTCGATGATATCAAACTAAACCTTAAAGGTGTAAAATTTAAGTGTACAATTGCTGTGACATTTTGGCTTCTTGGAACCACAAAATAATTCTTAAAAGAGCTTCATTCTCCTGAGTCGGCCATTCCAAGTGATAAAAGTAGAACATTTTTGGCATTGAAAGCTGCTCAGCAGCTTTCAATGCCACTTTAAAGGCCTAAAAAGGCCCCAAAAAATTGTTTTTGTATCGATAGCTTAGATTTAACATACAGCTAGGTCTAAAAAAGGGATGCCTTATTAATAATTAATTTAATTGCGCTCTTTGGTGCACATGTTTACAAATCTTTAATTGTTTTTCTACGATATGTTTGTGTAACATGATGTGATCTCTAAAATAACTTTTATTTATCTCTCTTCAAAAGATGTTTTCTAACGTGTCGGCTTCTAAATTTTCCCAGTGAAGAAAAACAAGTATCCAAGTTTTTAATTCTCTTCCTTAAATGTTTTTTTTTTCGTTTAGATTTAATCGAAATCTACAGATTTAATTTTAAGCTGTTTTAAAAAGCTGTGATATAAATTTAAAAATTATTTGTAATACACATATGCTGAAAGCATGTTAAATAAATAAAATTGAATGTGAACATCTTAATATTTAACCTTGTAACAAGATTCTTTCAGGGACTCGTCAGTTCAGTTTCGTAACCTGACAGTAAAGCGATGACAATTAAAGGTCGTCTTTGATCGTGAAATAATTTGAAGCATTCTTTTTCAACCTACTTTTATATGCAAGATTCTAGCAACAATAATAAAAACACCCCTAGTCCAATGTGTGGTCTGCCTTTTTTGTGATTTAAATATTGAATATTTTTAAGATTAAAGTTAAGACCTTCAACTGTCATGTTTCGTGGGAGACCCTGTATCTATGAGATGTACCAATTAAGGATGCACATATGGGGCTACCCGCAAAGGATGAGACAAAGACTACCTTAAGAGAATTTATTCAGCCTTCTTTCTTATATTCGTGGTTCAAACAGCAGCTGCAAAATGTTTTTTTTCCGTGACCCAATCATTTAATTCAGTATTAGCAGACTATCTTAGAGCCAGAAAATCTGATTTTACATTGAGATTGTTATTTTAGGTGGGTTTAAGGTCGACATTAAAGTCGCATCCTGTAGCTATTTTAAGCTATAAACATACTTTATTTCGACAGTTTTAAAAAAGGTGTAAAAAAGTAGGAATTCTGGAAAGTTCATTACAAGTTTAAAGTCGATTAAAACGGAATGATGGATTTCTTATGCTTAAGATTGGAATGGATTGTAAATTATCAAAACTCCGACTGTTTAGTAGAAAAAGTGGAAAAAAGGAGTGAGCTTCGGTAGGGTTCAAATGATATCTTTTTCAGATACTTCATTATCGATCATAGGAAAAAGTTTTAAAATCATCTTCACTGATTTTTTGGGTTCTGCTGTCTTCGCAATTTGATAAACGAGGCTGTAAGTTCTACGAGCTTTTCATAAAGTAGTCTACCTTTCCTGTTTTAAAAATTGATGAAGCTAATAAATATGACAATCTTGATAATTAAAGAAATTAAATTTTTAATTTTTTGCAATATCTCCGTCGATTAAAAAGTTGTAAAAATAGTGGACCACGTTTTGACAATTTTAAGCCTTAAAACCAGGCGTTTTCGATATTAGAAGTTTAAACTGGATGCTACAATAATTCTGTTCATTAAAAATATCCACATGTATCGAAGACGATATAAAAGTCGTCACTTAATTCCCATGTTTATTCATTATATATCAGGTTTATTAAGAACAAAAGTAATAGTGATTTAGAATACGACTGTTCTAAATATAGAGATGTCTTGCAAAATACTAAATATCTAAAAAGCCCCTATAGTTTTCACGGATTATACCCTGTGTCCTGCATTAGTTCACCACCCCTTGTGTCTTCCTTTAAAATTATAAAACAATCAGTATTTCATCGAGACTAAGGTAATTTTTTATAAAATTGCCCAATAATACATTAATAAATATCAGCACGTGGCAAAACCTAGCTTTTAAGGTCTAAAACTGTTTATAAATGGGGTTAACAGGGGGTGGTGTAACCAATCCCAGAGAAGTTTCTCCATGCATGACACCGCGGGTCAATAATTGCGGAATTTAAAATACGCCAATTTTAAAACCAAGTATTTACATCCCTTAATTTAAACAAAATTCTTTTTTAACCACGATATATTGAACTTGCTATGGTAAGGTAGTAAAATAAATACTCATTAGTTAGCAGATATTTATATATTTTCACAATATTTACCACTAAACTATTGTTAGCAGACAATATATTTTCACAATATATACCACTAAACTATTAGTTAGCAGATAATAATATATTTTCACAATATATACCACTTAACTATTAGTTAGCAGATAATAATATATTTTCACAATATATACCACTAAACTATTAGTTAGCAGATATTAATATATTTTCACAATATATACCACTAAACTATTAGTTAGCAGATAATAATATATTTTCACAATATATACCACTCGACTATTAGTTAGCAGATAATAATATATTTTCACAATATTTACCACTAAACTATTTTTGACAAAACTATACTCGTAAACTACGATAATATTAATTATAAAATGGAATTTTCTTGTAAGAAAATTATTGTCAACATCAAAGAAAATGTAGCAAGGAAAGCGGAATTTGTTGAAGACGACATTTATCATCATCTGCCAGGCTGGCTGCTACCAATGTAACAAATAGAAATCTAAAAAAATATGATTATGAAACCTTAAATTTGTTGCAAATAAAAATCTACAGAACAAGTTCAATTTTAATAAGATATATAAAATTATAAATGTTCGACCTAAAAATCAAAGAATTAAAATCTCGGATTCGAACTGTAAAATGCAATAAACCATTGGGTGACCCATATGTAGTTATGGAACGTTTAAGAAATCATGGATTATGTTACGCGAGCCATGCTGCGTGAAGAAAGTCTGTTTGTCGCCCCTGCGTATTTCTGAGTTTCTCCTTAAGATCTGTACGGAATGTATTGTGAAAAAACTAGTTTAGGAACTGTTTACAGTCCGACTGCGCAGACGCAAGATTTCTAGCGGAGTAGTAGTGATATTTATATTCAGTTACTCAGTATATGTTTATTCGTTTTGCAAGTATTTTCCGTGTTCAGAATTCTGGGATCACCGTGGTAATTATTTATATATATCTATGTTTATTGGTTGATTCTAGTATGTTTGATGATTATGTATTCGTTTATTGGTTCCTAGCCACAGTTTTTTAATGCCTGAGTGGATTATTTGTTAGATTTGTATGATTTTCACTCAAAGCTTTTTCTGTGGGTTTATTAAACTTGTTTAGATTGAAGGCTCAGAGAAATAAACGTTCGGAACCTTACTATCCTCCTTTTTATTATGAAGAGCGTTGAGAGAAGGGAGTCTTACGATCCAATCCTGAGAAATCCCCCACGGTACATATATTAGGTCTTTAGGGAAATCGCTAAGTAGCGAAACAGATTATATAATATTGCTTGGGAAAGTGCCGGACAATAAAAACAATTGCACAACGTTATTTATCCCATGGACCTAACGCTAAGTGTCATGTTCTGGTCATAATCGAACGTTTATCCCCTGTAACAATTTATAATGCAAAGTACCTCTGCATGCCCCCACACAGTGCTTATAGCAGGATAAACGGTAGATCCCTAAAAATTAGAAAATAAAAGAAGAAAGCCTGTTAAACAATTTGATTATGAAGTATTAAATGTTTAAATTAAGTGACGTCCTTTAAATTATCTTCTACACGCCGAAATCAATTGGAAGTTTAAAAATGTAACTTGTAAGTTTTTTTTTCCTTTAAAGTTAATAACTTAATTTTTGATGATTTCAATGATAAAGCCTAAAGATTTCTTCATTTTTAATTCTGTCATTTCTCGAGAATTAAGTAAAATTCTCTTGGCATAAAATAATTGCCTTGTTTTGCCTAGTTAAGTATTTATAAGCACAAAAAATGTTCTCATATTTGAGGTAAACCAAAGAAAATATTCAACTCAAGCACTTATAACCTGAAGTCCATGATGTGCTATGCCAAACCATCTTGTGCCATCAGAGAAACTTAAAGTCCCTGAATATTTTACAGTGAGATCCAGACAACTGTGCAGGCTCAACTTACGATTGTAAATAGTCAAATGAAAATGAAACAAGGAAATTTTGCAGTTTAAAATGACCCATTGCATAAGTTGACTTTACGAATATAAAATAAAATTTAGGCTATTTAAATGTATTCTTTCTATTTCACAGTTTTATGGATATGGAGGTTCAAGATTTGATACAAATACTCAGTAAGCGAACTTATAAAATAACAACTTTATTAAAGCCTAGGGTAATAATGTTACATCGTCTATACGCAACATCCCCATACTGAACTTCTGACCTAATAACTTTCCGACCTACTTCAATATCAGACCTACGCCAGCTATTTATTTTGGTATTATTTGAGGGTTGGATATAGGTAAAGACAGTTTCTGGGCCGATCGCTTCGGCTAGAACAGGCTATGGGGACCGAGCGCCGCGGCTTATAGGACAGGCTTGGGGGTCAAGTCCATCTATCAGCTGTAAAACCATGTGCTAGTTGGTGGGATGTGTAGTATAGCGGATTTGGCGAAGGTCAGAAGTGGAGTATAGCGGATTTGTGTAGGTTGAAAGATACATCATTCTTTGTTAGGCGTCGGGTGAAGGGAGCAGGAGGGGGGGATAGATAAAACTCCTAAGAATGCGCGAATACCTGATAATATTTTCTTAATTCTCTCTCTCTATGCCAGCTTGCTCTGACAGCTTGCTTCTATAGTAATGTTAAGGATGAATACGAATGTTATGAATTTGATATTTTTGATACGAATGTTGGGTTTGATTGTTTATCTGATCTTGATACTTGGATACGAATGTCATGATAGGCTTGATAC